AGTCCATAGAAGGAACATCCGCACTGGGATCGCGAATATAAGCCAAATAGGCTAGACACCCTTTCTCTACCATACGCCGAGCTTTCATATAAGAAATAACCCTGCTGGCAGAATGGCCAGGAGTTCCTTTCCACTCTAACCGAGGTAACCCCGACATAGCTAGGGTCACTGTCTTGGCATGATAGTCCAATATAGCATGGTAAGGAGACAGCCAATCCATACCCAAGATGACCTCAAAATCTACCATATTAAGAAGTAGAAGATCCACACTAGTCTCAAGATTACCAATAGTAATCACACATGAACGATAGACATGATCTACTACAACTGAGTCTCCCACCGGTGTAGATACACACACAGAAGCACTCAGAGAATCACAAGGCACAACCAAATATGAAGCAAAATAGGAGGACACATAGGAATAAGTAGATCCTGGATCAAATAGAACTGAAGCATCTCTATGGCAAACTGGAATAATACCTGTGATGACAACATCAGATGACTCGGCCTTAGGCTTAGCTGGAAAAGCATAAAATCGGGGCTGGGCCCCACCACTCTGAACTGCATCTCTGGGACGGCCTCTAATTGGCTGGCCTCCACCTCTAGCGGTCTGACCTCCACCTCTAATGGTCTGACCTCCACCTCTAGCTACCTGACCCCTACCTCTAGCTAGCTGAGAAGGCGGTGAAGAAACCGGTGCCGGTATGATGGCACGAGAATCTTGCCGAGATCTGTTACTCGCCAATACTATAAGAAATTAATCTAATTAATGAAATCAAAGCTAAAGCAAGAAATTAGAAAATAGTCCCAAAAAGTCTCCCCGAGCCCACGTCTCGGAATTGGGTAAAAGTCATAAAATATGAATACCCATTCACTCATGAGTTTACTCATACCAAAAATACTCAAAACTGATACCAAAATCTCGATCAAAATCCCAAAATTCGGCCTAAGAACTCTTCTCAACTTTTCCCCAAATTTTCAACCCTAAATCCGAAATTAAATGGAGAAGACAACTATAGATTAATAGAATACAATCAAAAACGATTTAGGAATCATTATCCCAAAGCTTCCTCTAAAAATCCCTCGAAAAATCGCCAAATCCCGAGCTCTCAAGTCCAAAAATGAAGAATGAAATCAAACCCTCGCACTTAGCCCTTTTTCTGCCAGAGATCTCACTTCTGCGAGCCTTCAACCGCATCTGGGGTAGCGCACCCGCGCTCCAAAATTTCACTTCGATATCAAAAATTTCACTACCGGTCAAAATCTCCAAAACTTTGACTTTCGCCATTTCAAGCCTAAATGAGCTACAGACCTCCAAACCATAATCCAGACACGTACCTAAGTCCAAAATAACCTAACGAAGCTAACAAAACTGACGGAACTCCATTCCAGAGTTGTCTTCACATAATTCCGACTGCGCTCCAAATCTTATGGCTTAAGCTTCCGTTTAGGAATTAAGTGTCCCAAAATACTCCAAAAACTAAAACGAAACCTCCCGGCAAGTCACAATAGCAGAAAATAGATATGGGAGAAGTAGTTAATAGAGGAATGGGACTATAACTCTCGAAACGACCGGCCGGATCGTTACATGTACTCAAAAAGTAATGACAGAATTAGCAAGAATTTAATAGCAGACTGAGAATTTTTAATAATTCTGACACTTCAAGTTCAAATTACAATTGTGAAACAGAAAAGGAAATTGTTAAGCTACAAATCCTTAACCAAACGATTGAGAAGAGAAGGGAAGCAAAGAATGACGAAGGGAGCAGAGAAAGGAGAAGAGAAGAGACGAGAAGGGAGCGAAAAGAGATAGACAGAGAGAGAAGGAGAAGTGAGATCTTTAGCACTGATATACCACTGTTCATCGCTCGCTTGCTTCTATATATCAGTAAGTTCCGACATCGGTGAAATAAGAATTGCAAGTTATTGACCCAGGTGAAAACAAGCCCAACACGTGACCTCCTTTTGATAACTAATTCCCGATCATAACAATCCTTCCCGCTGAAATTGACCTTGTCCTCAAGGTCATTGTTGAACCATGATGACAAAAGTTCCTTGTGATCATAAACTCAAGAGATTTTGTTGAGACTTTTCTCTCATTTAGAGTGCTATGCAGATCATTGTTGAATGGTCTGAAATCGTAGTGAACTACTGGAATCAAGCCATGACAAGGATAATCAATTGCAACAGCCAAATTAATACCAAGCATATATTTCCTTCCAGAATAACTTCTTCTCTCAAGGTCAAGAACAACAGTAACATTGACAAAACCTTGTAAAATATTTGTACCACAACCTTGAATACTGATAGTTCCACTTGTGATGATCAGACATGCTACGTAGCTGGTGCTTGAACTTCCAACAGCTACAATAATTGTTATTGTCAATGGACACAAAGCAGTTTCAGCATTTACAAGTCCTCCCTTGAATTCTTCACCCGCAGGGAACATCTCTTCACAACCTTCGACAATTGCTGGTTGGTTTACAGCTTCAATTTTTTTTATGCAATCCAAGTGTTTTCAAGGAACCAGGTCCAGCCAATGCATCCTTAAATATGCCTTCATTTGAACAATCATTGAGTGGAAAATTCAAGAGTCGGAACTTGAACCCTTCAATGTATTCTACCCTCATTTTTCATGATTTCAAGAGAGTAACTATCATCAGGATATCCGATTCAAGGGCTACAAATTAAAGGAATACCTCCCAATATATCTTCTTATTTGGCCTCGTGCCTTCCCTGTTGTGCCTTTTCTCAAATTCATACATCTGTAACATCAAATATAGAAGTACCATATATTGCTCATAGAACATTAGCCCATTATCCACTGCCCAGGTCCTTAAGATTGCAATCAACAGTAAAATAGAAGTCACTACACCCTTAATTTTTCCCCCTCCGAACAAAAAAATGCTAAGAAACTATCCTGCAATTCACCAAGAATAGATTTTGTATTTTTCCAGTAGACATCAAACAATCCATTAAGCCGCCTCATAGTCCACTGGTTCGCACACTTAGCAATATTAGCAAGCCGTATTTTAGTGTAATTCAAAGAATACAAATATAAAGGAAACGAGGCACAAGCTGCAATTTTGGCTCCATCGAGTAACTCCTTCAATTCATTTAGCCAATCAAACACTATACTTGTATCCCAAATTAGTAACCATGATTGAGATCTAGCACTCAGTGACGAGGGGAAATTAGACTCAATAAACTGCATAAGGCTAATACAAAACACATCAAATGTAGTACCTCCAGGATCAAACATTATAATAGTTTCATCATTATGATCTTCAGACACGTAAGAGGAGTCCGCAAACAAACACGAAATAGGCCCGACATCTAGTTCGGGCAATTCATCAAACATGACTCCAGTGATTATGCACATAAAATTCTTAACACATTGTCCTACCATGTAGCGCTCACACAAGAGAGATTCGAGATCAAGACTAAGAGGAACTTGCTGACTTACCTCAATTTCGGTATATTTGGTTGGCTCTAACTTCCCGACGATTTCAGGTGGAGGTATAAAAATTTTGTTCCTTACCTCAATTTGCTTGAGGCTTAAACATTTTCCAACAGAGGCATCTTCAAGCTTCATGGGTTCCACCATAGGTTCGTTAGACGCATCAATTGATCTTAAGATACAGTCACTTGATGGAACCTCTTGATCAACAGATTCTCCAACTTCTATTTCCTATCTTGCACTTTCTTGATCTTCCTTGAGGACATGATAACCAGTTCCCTTATCTTCCGGACTGATTCCAAGCATCTCCAAGATTTTGTCCAGTTTTTGATTTAATCCATCCAATCCCTTCCCCAATTTATCAAAGTTTGCCCCATTCGAACCCCAGCCAACTGAATTATCTTTGCAAAATCCTCAAATACGGTTTCTTCTGCCATGGCTGCCAACTCCGAAAGGTGCCAAGATTAGGCTCTAATACCAATTGTAAAGTAAAGGCAGAAATAGCAAGAATTTAATAGCAGACTGAGAATTTTTATTAATTCTGACACTTCAAGTTCAAATTACAATTGCGAAACAGAAAAGGAAATTGTTAAGCTACAAATCCTTAACCAAACGATTGAGAAGAGAAGGGAAGAAAAGAATGACAAAGGGAGTAGAGAAAGGAGAAGAGAAGAGACGACAAGTGTCTTTGTTAGGGTCTTTGTTTCGTAGTTGAATTTTCGAAAGAGTTGAAAAGGCAGTTTATGTTGAAAATAAGGGAATTTTGAGTTTGGGATTTGTAGGTTTGGTTTTTGTGTTGAGAAATGGGGTTATAAGTATTCTATGCCTTCAAAGGTATTGAAAAGGCGACATTCATGATTTGAAATTTATGCCAATAACCTCAAATTAATACTAAAATAATAATTGGGATCACAATTAAATAATTATATGTATTTAATGGATTTAGGATTTGGACATAAGTTATTAGATTTAGGTGAACCGTAACTGACCCTCTAGATCCGCCCCTGATCTTGAGGCTAAGAGATATGAAGTTAATTGAAGAATAGGGGAACTTTAGTTAAAATTGCTGAAGGGATGGGAAGTGTGTTAAAATATAAGGGAATCTTTTGAGTTTGGGATTTGTGATTTTGGTTATTATGTAGGGAAATTGGGGTCATAAGTATTCTATTTTGAAAAAATTGAAAAGGGCGGAGAGAAGTGAAGTGAAATGAAAAACAGAGGAGCTTTAGTTGGAGAAAGGGCGAAGGCATTATCAAGTAAGCCTGTTATAAGTGGTCGTTCTCTTGCTACCGGAAGCTTGATAGCGATAATATACAGTTCTACCCCTAATTGGATTGCGCCTTTGAGGTTTTGAAAGGCATGAAAATCTGAGTCTAGGTCCGAAAAAGCTAAGTTGCTCGGACACGGATGCAGGTGTCCAGTACGGGTGCGGATCTATAGGTCGGATCTTTCGAGATGTAAATTCTAAGATTCGGGAATACTTATTCTAGTACTGATACAAGTGCAGGGATCTGGCTAAAAATAATTCAAAAATTTAAAAATTTAAAAATATCTCTAAACTATGATAATTTTGTGGAATAATTACGTATAACTTGTAAAGTGTGAATTTCGTTTTTATTCTCAAGTCATAGATAAGTAAATGATTGATTTCCTAAATAAGGTATACAATTTTTTTCAAATTTTTCCTAGTTTTGGTTCTGATTTCAGGAATCAAATTATATCTCGTCTCGAATTTTTCCGTTCGTCGTGATCAAAGTACCCAAAATTGTTTGACCAGTTCCAGTACGGATCTCATACCCACACCCATATTAGTCGTGTCGACACGGGTGCATCACCTTAACTGCCGTGTCGGAGCAACTTAGCGAAAAAGCTGGATCCTCACCGTTAGTTACAGGCGGTATGTTAGCGTTGGATATCCCCGCCTCTGAAGATTTGTAACTTTGATTGTTATGCTTTTGGTTCTGGCGTGTTGAACTCGAAAGATAAGAGCTTTTGAATTAATTTTTTGTGATTACCGATGAGAATTGCTTTGGAATTATGATTCCCATGGTGTACATCAATTTATGCGTAGCTGGAGTTTTTTTCCCGAGAATGGTAACAATATGTGTAACTGGAGTTAAGTGTCTGCATTTCTATGTTGGCTGACATAATGATGCTGAAACAACTAATTAACAGTTGACTGTCATATACTTATTAGGAAAAAGCCTTAGTTGATTTTATTTATGTTTATGTATGGATGTGTGATCCAATTCTATAAACCTCTTTATATCTAAAATTTGCATATTGGGCAAGATGGAAATGATAAATCCCATTTGACAAGGGAGGAGATCCACCTCTATTGCTAAGTGGGATATAATGAATTCCAGCCATGGTTGAGATTGGAAGTTCTTAGATAAAAAGTGAATTTGACATGTGCTCCTGATAACAGCACACAATTAGTGCTAGTAAAAGGGAAAATACTACCTTATCTTTTTCATCTATACTTTTTTGAGGTTGAGTATTGCCTAATACAAATCTATTAAAGGTTATTGTTTGTTTCTGGAGATACTTTTATGGAAAAGGGTTATCAAGAATTACCTTTTCTTATGGGTGGGGTTTAGTTAGAAATATCTGGTTCTTATTTGTGATTGATTCTGGATTTGGATAGTTAATTAGTTCCATATAGTGTGGATAACCATAGTTAATTTACTGATATTTTGTTCCCGTATATTCACTGGATAGTTGCAGATAAGATACTGATATGTTGCTTATGCTTACTGGAACCGCCACTAGAACCTTCTTTTTGAAGTTTATTGACAAAAGATAATTGTACAGCTCATCGAGTTTAAATCATCTGAATGAGAATTCTCCGAACTATTCTATTTATGCAAATCTTATCAGTTTCACTTGTCCTCTGTGCACGAGTTATTGAAGGTTGGAGCTGTAAAATTGTGTAGCATTGAGTTCTCTGAGTATGGGTCACACTCAGCGCTGTTGGTGATTTTGAAGCTTGCTTCATGGCAATAGGCGTCCATAAGCATAGTAAATGTGGTGTTATTGTTCTGCGTCTCATTATCTAATTGCACATTGTTAAATTTGCATATACTTGATTCTCAGTCACCATAGTCACAGTAGTTTCTTTACTGTGTTGTATACAGTTCTGATGCCCTTCTTTTTGTTTCCTTATTTTATTCTTAGGCTGGTGACACACTGATACAACTGTATCACAATTTCATCACTGATTTTGAGAAAAAGATCAATCTTCTGAAGCTTGCTCATTTTGCAGTAATTGTTTCTCGGCAATACTCAGAGAAAGAAGCTGCAATAGGTTACCTGGAAGGAGTAGTTGAGAAACTTCTAAATACTAAAGAGATGAGCATAGAAGAGCCGATACTGTATATTAAGTTGCAGATAGCCCTATTTAAGCTTGAGCAGGGGGATCAAAAAGAGTGCAACAAGCTTTTAGAACTGGGGAAGATTACACTTGACTGCATGACTGATATTGACCCCTCTGTTTATGCCAGCTTATATTGGGTTTCATCTCAGTATCATAAAGCTCGGCAAGAGTTTGTAGAGTTCTATAAAAATGCTCTCCTGTGTCTTGCATACACTTCAGTGGACTCTCTTTCGGAGTCATTCAAGCTGGTATGTTGCCATTTCATGTTTTGTATTTTATCCAATGAACTATCTAAGAATTTCTTGGCTATATCTAGCTGATCTCTGACCTCTATACATTGGTCTATTGCCCTAGCACTCTTGGTATCACATCCATTTGCACTAAAGTCCAAACATTGAATAAGTCTAAATTGTGTTGTACTGTTGGCATCATGGAGAAGTTGATAAGAGATGTTGCTAGTAAATGCACCGAAGGCCGTGGCCTAGTGGTTAATGAAGTGATTAGAGAACCATGAGGTCTCAGGTTCAGATCTCAGTGGGTAAAACAAAAAACACTATGTGACTTCTCATCTGCCTAAGTCTTTGTGGGCAGAGTTACCCGGTACCTGTGCCGGTAGGAGGGGCAGGTACCCGAGGAATAGTCGATGTGAATACAAGCTGGATCGGACACCACCGTCAAAAAAGAAAATGTTGGTAGTAAATGTCCATGCTATAAAATCTACAGTACTCTTTTAATATCTTTATGCTCCTTGCATTTTATACTACTTGGTATCCAAGAGAATTGAATCTTGGCATAACCTCTACATAAGCTGTTGAGCATCTGGAAAACCATACCAGGCAGCATTTGGTGGGTCATTTCGCAAGAAAGGAATCTTAGATGTTTTGAAGGAAAAGGAGAGAACACAAGCAAGCTGAAGTTCAATGGCTTATCTCTCTTTGCCTTTCAGTGCAACACGCAAAATGTATATGATGTAGATAGTTTCTTAGATTTTCTAAGTTCTCTCTCAGACCAGAGCAGGTAGGAACCGAGTTTTGGGGAGGTGCTGGGGTACGGAAATTCAATTACTTGTAAGGATCCTGATGTAACTACTGCACAATCTATTTGCTTTTGTTTTATGAAATGCGTGCTTATCCAAAAAATGAAGTTGTTGAGCATTTTTTTAAAATTTGTGTGCATTTTGTTGTCTTAAATTATCTAGTATAGCAGATACTAGTTTGAATAGAGCTAAATGGATTCGGGGGATTTATTTAACTGACCCCACCTAGTTTGTACTTGAGGCGTAGTTAATTGAAAAATTGAATGTGTTCATATTGATGTGTGCCACAGAGATTACGTACCCATTGTTGGGCAAAGCTAATGATCCCATACACTGAAATGGATCACATATTTCTTACTATAGGGGAAACACTTCATAGTTTGAGGGAAATTGTTGAAGGTCCTTGTTATGAATTTATGATAAGTAATTGTGATGGATCTTAAGTTTCTAAAATATTGTCAGTCATTCCTTTAGTGCTTTACTTGAATCTTTTCTATAATTTGATTCTAATATCTGCAACACACTTTAATCTGTCACTTGGGCAGTTGCTAAGCATTAAGATGCTGAGAAAGAACATGGAGTGTTGTTTAGGGCTTTTGAGGCCTTTTTTTTTCAAGCATTAAGATGCTGAAAATGCATCTGAAATTGTTGAGTGTCAATATATTTGATTTTCTATTCTACATAATTGTTTCTTCTATCTTTGTTTAGGATTTGGCATTTGATTTGTCTTTGTCAGCACTACTGGGAGACAACGTATACAACTTCAGAGAACTGCTTGCTCCCCCAATTGTAAGTTCTATTTTGTTTTATAGGGATAAATCAAAAAAATTTATTTTTTTGATAAGGTAGGGATAAATCAAAATCTTGTATTGAATCTCACAAAAGCTGGTGTTATACATAGAAGTATTACATAAATTCCATGAAATGCATCCAACTATTTACAATGATTTGGTCTTGATTTTGTTACAGATAAAGAGTTTGATAGGGTCTAAGGTTAAATGGCTATATTGTTGGATTTTGCATCTGATACTGCTGTTGTTTTCTAGAATAATTAGTTGTTTAGTTTTAGGAGGAGTCTGCTAGAAGATTCAGAATTTTAATTATAGTAAGAGTTCAGTAATTTAGTTGTAGGAGGAGTCTACTACTTTATTTATTTGGCTATTTAAAGCTCTATGATTAATAAAATTTTAGAGACAGTTTTTCAATCATATTTTCAACATTCTTGCTGCTTGCATATTTTTGTCTAAAATCCATAACAGTGGTATCAGAGCCTCCATTGATCTTGACGGATCTCTGAATTCGCTGAAAAATAACCAATTTCAACCACTTTTAAACCATATGCATTTTTACCCATACCGATTTTTAACCAAATTTTTAACAATGTTAAGCAACGGTCTCTCTTTGAATACCCCCACAAACCTTCACTGGTGAAAACTATCAAATTTGGTCAGTGAAGATGAAATCTTATCTTGAATCTTATGATCTATGGGAAGTTGTAATGGAAGACAAACTTATACAACCACTTCCTGCAAATCCTACCCTTGCCCAAATCAAAGCTCATTCAGATGAGAAAACGAAAAAATACAAAGCCAAAACTATAATTCAAAATTCAGTTGCAGATTCAATCTTCTCTAAAATCATTGCATGTGAGACAGCTGTTTACCCGAAAAATCGGATAACGTTAAATTTAGATATGGTTCTAAGGGTATGCAAATTCCTTTGACACAAAAATGACAATACAGGTATTTTTGCTATAAAATGGGAATGATGAACAAGAAGACTGAATGAGTTAAAAAAACAAGCACAATGAAATCTCAATGTATCTTCCAAAGAGGTCCTGTCTATTGCAGTCTATCTCCCTTTTTATATTAGAGGGTCACTGCTTTATCTATAACAACATGATAAAATAATACATATAGTGGAGAACCCATGATGGTTTGTCTCTTCCTTGATTCTCGCANCCGCCAAGATTCTCTCCCTCGGTGCGGTTGTAACGGCTCTTGTCTGCGAGCTTAGCACTGGCTCGAGCTCGGTGTTAGATCGAACCCCCAGTCTTGGTTCGAGCTCGATTCTGCCTTGGGGCATCGATATTCGGGGCCTGTGTCGATCGGTATTGCCCCGTAGTCCGATTCGGACACGGGCTCGATAATGATATCGAGTTTTGCCTTTGATTGGTCTTATAACTCGAAGCTCGACGCCCCTACTTCGAAATTCGTCCGACCTTGTTATGTGGATACCCTTCGATTGAAACGTCATTGTCTCGACCGATCTTTATGACTGAGAATCGATTTTGACCGTACACAACAGCAAAAGAAGCTTGGGAAACACTCAAACAGGAGTATCAAGGAAGTGAACGAGGCAGACAAAATCAGATTTTAAATTTGAAAAGAGATTTTGAATCTCTTAGAATACAAGATGATGAGACCATCGCTAAGCATTCTCACCGAATTTCTTTAATTGTCAATAAAATCAGGTTACTTGGCGAGGATTTCAACGATGACAGGATAGTTGAAAAAATTCTTGTGACAATTCTCGAGAGATTTGAATCTAAAATTTCCTCTCTAGAAGAGTCAAAAGATCTCTCTACCATCTCTGTTGCAGAATTAATAAGTGCTCTTCAAGCACAAGGGCAAAGAAGAGCCTTCAGACAAGACAAAGTTACTGAAGGTATTTTTTATGCGAAACACCAAAAAGAAAAAGTCGATTATCCTCATTGCAAATATTGCAAAAAGAAAACACACTTAGAAAAATTTTGTTGACGGAGACCTGATGCATTATGTGGAAATTACAAACAAAAAGGTCATGTTACAAAAGTGTGCAAGTTCAAAGATGCTCATGCACAAGCACTAATAGCAGAAGAAGGAATTGAGGATGACTTTCTTTAGACTGCAGCAACAGAGTGTTGGATTTTGCATCTGTTACTGCTACTGTTTTCTAGAATAATTAGTTGTTTAGTTTTAGGAAGAGTCTGCTAGAAGATTCAGAATTTTAATTATAGTAAGAGTTTAGTAATTTAGTTGTAGTAGGAGTCTACTACTTTATGTATTTGGCTATTTAAAGTCCTATGATTAATAAAATTTAGAGATAGTTCAACCTTCTTGTTGCTTGCATATTTTTTCTAAAATCCATAACATATATTATATCATTGAAGCATTTAACACTAGTGATTTAGTTCCCTATCAAGAATTGTGCTGCATCCATCAAACTGCTTTAAGTGCTCAACCAGCATTAGTGCAGAATGAGAAAATGCTTCTGGAGAAGATCAACATTCTCTGCTTGATGGAGATCATCTTCAGGTATTATGGTAATTTTGCACAGGGTGATACTTCCATTGTTTATTTCTGTTGTATTTGCATGCAGTCGCCCGGCAGAGGATAGAACTATTCCATTGAGTGCCCTTGCAGAGCGCACTAAGCTTAGCGTGGAAAATGTAGAGTATCTCCTAATGAAGAGCCTCTCTGTAAGTGAATTCTTGTTTGTTTAATTAAGATCTAATCTCTCCTCTGTATGCTAACCAACTTCCATGCACCAAGACATGCATAAGAAACGTAATATTTTCTTTCACATTCTTGGATTTGTGAGGTAAAGGTTATTGGATTGTTCTGGCATGTCCTATAGAAACGTAATATTTTCTTTCACATTCTTTTATAATGTAAGTTAGCTGCGAGAAATCCTTTTGAATGAAGGAATCATAGTAGCTATAATCAGCTTAATAGCTATGCTTATCCAGTCATCGAAGTAGGTTAGCTCCTTTTATACTTGAGAAAGATAACCTCTCAATTTACCTCTTTCGAAATGATCACGTTACTGTCTTAATTCTTAAGCTGTTGCAACAGTCAAATTTTTTGTTGTTCAGTTTATATATCCAAATAGTCATGTGGATGTGATTCTCAGTTATTATATTATGTCGCGACCATAAGCTCAGGGCAGTATGAAGGTTGCAACCGAGTGGTGCTTCTGCATGATGATCACATCAACCATGTTATTTGATGTGTTTGTGTGTGTATTTTGAAGGGCATGGGGGTTATGGCCCTACCACTTATTCAGAGAAAGGAAAGAAGTTTGTAGATGTCTTCTTGTGCATTTTTAGTTCCTTCCTTCTCATTATGTTTCCCTCTATTTTATCTTTGCATAACTGAATTATAATTTTTCTGTTGTCCAGACACTCTTCTGAATGTGGACTTTTCCTGATGTTCTGCAAATTTCCTTTTTTTTTATATTGATTGTTACATGTCGCCCTTGAGGTTTATGAACAACTTTTCTCTGATTTGACTTTTTTTTTTAATTGTAGGTGCATCTGATTGAGGGAATAATGGATCAAGTGGAAGGGACTGTTCATGTATGTAACGACCCCACTAGTCGTTTTGAGCATTTGCACTTCGCTCGGTAGTTTGAGGGTACGAGTATCTCCGCATGATATATTATGACTTGTGTGAATCGTCAGTTTTGGTTTTCAAGTTATTCGGAATCGATTTGGAAGAATGAACTTCAAAATTGAAGCTTTAAGTTGGAAGAGTTGACCAAATTTGATATTTTAGCATTTGACCTAGCATTGGAGTTTCGATGATTCCGTTAGGTCCGGATGGTGATTTTGGACTCGACGTATGCCCGGACTTGTATTTGGATATTTCTAGAAGGATTCGACACTAAGTGACGAAAGTTGAAATTTGAAAGTTTGAAAAGTTCATAAGTTTGACTGGAAGTTGACTTTGAGGATATCGGATTCAGATTGTAGTTCCGGTAATTGGAATAGTTTCGATATGTCATATGGAACTTGCCTGCAAAATTTGATTGGAGTTGATTTGATATGTTTCTAGCACTAGGTTGCGATTCTAGAAGTTCTTGAAGTTTATTATGATCTTCATGTATTTTGGCGTCCGATTCGTACTTTTAAAGGTTATTTTGATGTTTTGATCGCGCGAGCGAGTTCGTGTTGTGTTTTTGGACTAGTGTGGGTGGTTGATTTGGAGCCTCGGGGCTCGGGTGAGTTTCAGATTGGTTTCGGAATAATTTTTTATAATTTTTGAGTGCTCGTACTAGGCTCATCGCATTTGCGATGTTTTTGTCGCAAATGCGACTATCGCAATTGCGAAGTGTCCCTCGCATTTGCAAACTTGGGATGCTGAGGAAGACTTCATGCGACTATCACAATTGCGAAGTGGCCCTCGCACTTGCAAACTTGGGCTGCTGAGGAAGACTTCACATTTGCGAAGATATTACTCGCATTTGCGAGTGTGGGCTGTTTGCTTTTGCGAAGACTTCTACCGCTTTTGCGAAGGTAGCTGTCTTCGCATTTGCGTTATTTTGATCACAAATGCGACTTTAGCAGGACTCCGCCTGATTCGCTTTTGCGATGAGTTGTCCGCTTTTGCGGAGTTCGTATTTGCGAACCCTATGTCGCAAATACGATATCTGCAGCCTGCATATTGATGGGAATTCCGAGATTTAGCTTCATTTTGTTATATTTTGAACCCTAGTTTCGATGAGAGGCAATTTTGTGGAGGGATTGTCATACCAAACCACTGGGTAAGTACCTCTAATCAATTTTCAATTATATTTTATGATTATACATTAGATTTAACATCAAATTCATGAGAATCTAGGGAAAAAATTGGGAATTTTGTCAAAGTTTTGAAAAAAATAAAAATTTGGGATTTGAGAGTCGAACAAGACTCGAATTTGAAAACAAAACACGTATATGAACTTGTGGGGCTATGGGTAGTCAAGACCTACCCTTGGACCCGGGTTTTGACCGGGCGAACTCGGGGGTTGACTTTTGTTGACTTTTTAGAAATTGTATAAAGATCACAACTTTATTAATTAAAATTGTTCTCTCTTGCATTGTGTGATGTATTTAAGTCGTCTTTGGCTAGATTGAGCTGAGCGGGGGTGAATTTGTAAAGGAAAAATCTATATTGAGTATTGAGTTAGCCGAATTGAGGTAAGTGTCTTGCCTAACTTTGTTGAGAAAATTTTTCCTACTATTTGATATTATTTGCTACATGCGAGGGTGATACATATATATGAAGTGACGAGCATATATGCATGTGCCAGGGTTAATCATGCTCGGGGGTAGATTATGCTATGAATTGTGCCTTGTAGAATTACGTGACCTTCTTGCTTCATGTCATACTTGACTCATAGATACTAAGAATATAGAATTAAATGTTAAAAACCAAAGATTTAGTTTATTATAACTTAATCAAAATTTGACGGAATTCTGAGAAAATACGGATGTGTCTAATTCGGTCATCATTAATACATTCATACGGTCGATATTCTTGAGATATTAGATTATATACTCGTGTTGTAGACCATTCTTGAGATTTGTTGAAATACTTGAATAATAAGGTTCTTGAGGGTTTATTGAACTATTGTTGGCTTGAAAGTTGTGAATGGGGTTCATTTGGAATATTCATTTAAACATTCTCCTTGACGTTATTTATGCTTCCTACCTTGTTTGACATTGATATACATATTATTGGTAAGGAATAGTGTAAAGCACGAAGAGTGTTGTCGTGTCATTATATATATGTTATTATGTGAGGTAGAGTGTAAAGCATGAAGGGTGATGCTGTGCCATATCATTTGAGAGTAAAAGCACGAAGGGTGATGTTGTACCATGTTATGAGAATGTAAAGCACGAAGGGTGATGCCGTACCATGTTATGTGAGTGTAAAGCACGAAGGGTGATGCCGTGCCATTTTATTTGAGAGTAAAACCACGAAGGGTGATGTTGTGCCATTTTATTTATATTATCATGCTTTTATATTATCACGAGTACATGGCACGATGGGTGTTTCCGTGCAGGCGAGGACGAGGGACATGCATTATGTCGTGATATCTTTTCCTCGTGTATACGTTCATGCCTTTACATTGAGCTATTATTATCTTACTTATGGTTCTTATGTGACTTGTAGTTATTGACTTGTCCTTGTCCCCTATCTCAATTGTTATTGCGCTGCCCATGTCTTCTACTTGCTTGACTTGCAAATATCATGCCTACTTCCCGATGTTATAATTACATCCATGTCGTATCTATTTTATTGCACCTTAGTACAAGTCTTCTACCATTTTAGTTATTCCTGCCTCTACTTGTTAACTCATAAGGATCATATGTTCCCTTCTTATTTGTTATATCTATATCTAGGTTTTCACCATGCTAGTTAGTTGAAGTTTATATTCCTTTTTTCCAATTGTTGTCATTACTCTTATGCCTTCCGCCTAGTCTATTACTGTTGCCCATATGTATGTCCTTATTCATTGTTGCAACTTGCGTATTTCCTACTTTGGCATTATTGTTATCGGCATTTCTGCCACCCGGTTGGTATTGTTATACGCATAATTGGTGAGAATGAGATAAATGCAAGAAGGGTGTTGCCGTGTAATTGACTTGATATCTGAGTACATTCCTCACGTTATGAAAGTTATGGAGTGACTATCATGGTTTATTGGTTTTCGCACTAAGGAAAAGATTGGTCGAGTTATTGGAAAGTGTTAAATTATGATCTCTTCTAGTATTCAGTTATTGCTTTGCATATTCATTACGTGTACTCTCTTCTGTTATATCGTAGTATAGTTTTATTGCTAGTTTTCTGTACAAGTTTTATCACTGAGTATCTTTTAACTAAAAAGCATCGTCACTGTGATGAACCAAAATATCATCTTTAAATTTAATAATTAATTATGTGATCTAAGCACTATTTACCATTACTTGACTTGCGTGTGCAGTCCGTATAAATTTTCCGGAAAGTTTTCAAGTGAAGAATGGATTAAAATGTGAATTAGATGTTTAAAACTCAACTGAGTTGACTTTCGTCAATATTTTGAGCAAACGGACTCGGATAAATGTTTTGACAGTTCTGGTAGGTCCATATCGTGAATTGGGACTTGGGCGTATACCCGAAATTAAATTACGAGGTCCCTAGCACGAGATATGGAATTTTGATGAAATTTTTTAAAGTTTAAGTTCAAATAGTGACCGGAAGTCAAATTTCGTGCAAACGACTCCGGAATAGAATTTTAATGATTCCAACAGCTCCGTATGTTGATTTTGGACTTAGGAGTGTGATCAGAATTTTATTTGGAAGTTCGTAGTAGAATTAGGCTTGAAATGCCAAAAGTTAAATTTTTGGGAAGTTTGACCGGGGGGTTGACTTTTTGATATCAGGGTCGGAATCCAGTTTTGAAAATTTTCACAACTCCGTTATGTCATTTATGACTTGGGTGCAAAATTTGAGGTCAATCTGACTTGATTTGATAGGTTCTAGTGTTGTTTGTGGAAATTAGAAATTTCAAAGTTCATTAGGCTTGAATTGGGGTGTAATTCATGGTTTTAGCGTTGTTTGAGATGATTTGAGGATTCGACTAAGTTCGTATGATATTTTAGGACTTGTTGGTATATTTGGTTGAGGTCCCGAGGGCCTCAGGTGAGTTTCGGATGGTTAACGGATCAAAAATTGAACCAGGACAGCTGCTGCAATTTCCTTCTGTTGGAAATTTGCTTCTGCCCAGAAATCGAGCCCAGATGTGAGCCCAGATCGAGCTCAGGGTCGAGGGCCACGATCGAAACCCAGATCGAGCTCAGGGTCGAGGGCCACGATCGAAGCCATGATCGAGCCCAAGGTCGAGGGCCACGATCGAAGCCCCGGTCGAAGTCATAATCGATGGCCAGGACCGAGGACCGGGATCGAGGATCTCGATTGAAGGCCAAGATCGAGGCAGAACCGAAGATGTCTGGGCAGAATTATAAAAACAGGGGCTTCGTCCCATTCGCCATTTTTAACAACTTGGAGCTTGAGCGGATGCGATTTTTGATATATCTTCAAGGAAAAACATTGGGGTAAGTGTTCTTAACTCAATTTTGGTTAGATTACTCGAATCCATCACTGTTTTTAACATTTAATTGGTGATTTAAGTTGGAAAAATTTGAAAACCCTCTTGGATAGATTTGTGGATTTGGGGGTCGAATCGTTATTGGAATTTAGTCATTTTGGTATGGTTAGACTCGTGGTTGAATGCGCGTTCATATTTCATAACTTTAGCCGGATTCCGAGATGTGGGCCCTACAGGCAAATTTTTAGTTAATTTTGGATTTTATTGAAAAAGATGTAATATTTTCTTATGAAATTGATTTCTATAATTTTTCTTGACTGTATCGAATTAATTATGTCTAGATACGAGTCGATCGGAGTCGGAAAATCGAGGAAAAGGCATAATACTAAGTCGAGGTAAGTGACTTGTCTAATCTTGTGTGGAAAATATTTTCCCTAGGATTGATATTAATGTGATTTTTGAATTGTGTTGAAAGTCGTGTACACGAGGTGACGAGTGTGTACACGGGCTAAATTTGAAGAATTATATTTTTAAATTGTGTAAATCATTGTTGTGCATTTATTAAAATATTCTATGTTGTTATATTCTTCATCATTGATAAAATGTTTATATTTTAAATTTGTTTGATCTTCTCGTGCTAATTGTTTTATCTGTTTAGTTGGAACTTGGTTTCTTTTATTCTGTGCATTATTTGATGGTTGATTTTCTCTAAATTAAACATTATTAATTTGAAGTATTCGGCATTTTTAAACTTGATATTGAAGCTACGTGTTAAAGATTTTAAAATATTATTTTC